GGGGGTTAGGGTTTAGGGTTAGGGTTAGGGTTTAGGGTTAGGGTTTAGAGTTCAGGGCTAGGGTTTAGGGTCAGGGTTGGGGTTGAGGTTAGGGTTTAGGGTTAGGGTTAGGGTTTAGGGTTTAGGGTGAGGGGTAGGGTTGAGGTTTGGGATTAGGGTTGAGGGCTAGGGTTAAGGGTTCAGGTTTAGAGCTTAGGTTAGGGCTAGGCTTAGTGTTAGGGTTTGGGGTCAGGGTTAGGTCTACGGTTAGGGTTTAGGCCTCGGGTTAGGGATTATGGATTAGGGTTCAGGGTTTGGGTTAGAGGTTAGGGCTTCGGGGGGGTCGGGGCGGGGGTGGTAGGATGAGGTTACGGAAGCCGGGGCCGCGAGCGGGGGGGGAGGGTTCGCCGACGATGTGGTTCGGAAAGGGGGGTGCGCGGGGCGTGGGGCGGGGGCGGGGGGTTGCGCCGACGACGGGCCTCGGGCGAAGGGCGAGGCGGGGGGGGGGGGTTCGCCCGCACGACGGCTCGGCAAGGGTGGGGGGGGGGGTGGGTTCGCCGACGACGGCTCGGGCAAAGTCGGCGCACGGGGGGGAGAGGGGGTTTCCGAACCCCCCCCCAACCTTTGGTGATCCAGCGGCGCGCCCTCAAAATATAGTCCCCAGACTATTTTTGGACTATTTGTTGATGATGTTTGGGGTATTTCTCATTTTTCGTTGAAAATCCCCCCTGTCCTTGCCTTCCTTGCGGAGGTCATGGGGCTGTCTTTCGGTTGGCCGTCGGGCATGCTGCAGCCTTTGGGGGGAGGCTGTCTTCCGAAGCCTTGGCGCCGTTTTGGAGCCATAAGAACCACCAGAAAGTTTGTGGAAGAGGTTCAATGGAGAAGATGTCTGTTGCCAAGTAATTTCCAGGTGTCTAAAAACTGTTTCAACCGCATCTTTTAAATGCCAAACATGTTGAATATAGCTTTCGGACATGTTTTAAACATGCAGAAGAGAGTTAAACTACATGTTTAATTCAATGATCGAACGGTTCGAGTGGCCATTGTCATGGCATCCACAACAGAAAGGAGGATGCCAGGGGCAGGGGTGGGCGACGAGTCGGGCGAGCGACAATAGGGGGTCAACCAACGCTGGGGCGGGGGATCGAGGACTGCAGGCAAAAGTGGCCCCGAAGCGGCCCCGGAGCTGCCTCCGCGGGCCTGAAATCAAGTCGGGCATGTCTCTCGACAGGAGGAATGTCCAAGAATGGTTTAACAGTAGTTTGGGGACAATTGTTCGACCGTGCTTGACTAATTTTTTGGTTGAAGACGTGGTGATTCTTCTTCATTTGTCCTCCAACATCCGCCTGTCGGAGGACATGCCCCGCGCGAGCCTAAGAAGGTGCGCGCGAAGGGTGCGCGCTTCTTCGCCCCGTGCTCATGGGCGGAAAGTGGAGCCCCACACTCGGCCAACCTCTCGTCGAGCGTGCCGATCGCCGGGCAAGGCGTGGGAGCCAGGAGTAGCAGGTGTAGCCCTGCCGGGGACGAGTCGCCCGTGTTCTGTTCATGTGCTACTCCAAATCCCTCATGAATCGTTCCCCAGGTCCAGTTTTGTAAGGCGCTTTTTTGGCAACTGGGAGGGTCCAGTTTATTAGGGTGGTTTCTTTGGATTGGAGCCTAGGGGGACCAGTTTATTCAGGCGCCCCGTCGAAGAGGGGGGTCCGGAATATTAGGTCGCATTTGGAGGGGGTCCATTTTTTTGGCGGGGTCGATTAATAAGTGATTTGGAGTACCCCACACTCATTGCCCCCTCGTTAGCTGGGTCGCCCTTGTTCTGCTCATGTACTACCCTTAGGTCGGGCATGCCCCCCTACAGGGGGATTCTGGGCGACAAGCTAAACATTACCTACAAAATACCAAAACATAGCAACACAGTGCTAAACAAATCGTGCCCAGACTATTGTTTTATTCTTTTTGGATATTCCTCCTGTAGAGGGACGCGCCCGACCTAACGTTAGCTGGGTCACCCCGAGGGGCGCAAAGAGAATCGCGCGCCGCGCGCCGCGGCCTGGGATGGAGCGGCGCCCTTCCCCAGGGCGGCCTCGCGAGGGCTCGGAGCGCTCATCGCGCCCTCGCGCCCTCGCGGGGCGCGGGGGGCGCGAAGCTGGGCGCCCCGGGTCTAGGTCGGGCCTGTCCTCTACAGGGGGGAATATATGGAAAATAATCCAAAAATCATATGGCGACGATTCTTGTGGTATTTTGGAGCAGGTTTGACTAGGTTTTAACCGTTTCTTACTTGTTCGTCCAAGATCCCCCTGCAGGAGGACAGGCCCGACTTGAACCTAGGTTCACGAACGCCCGAGGCGGGGCTCGTCTGGAACCCTCCGATTCCATTCGACTTCGATCTCGGTCGATTCCGATCCGAGTTCGATTCGGCTACGGATTCCGACTCGAACCCCGACTTCTCCATGAGACCCCATGGTTCTGCCCATTTCCGCCGATTCGACTGATCGATTCGAGGCTGGGCTCTCCTGCCGAGGTGATGGGCTTCGTCCCCGGGCTCGGGGAAACACGAGACTTCAGTCGGGCTTGTCCCCCTATAGGGGGATTTTCGCCAAAATTTAAAAATACCCCAAACATAGTGAAAAAATATAGCAAAAATAGTCAGGGGACTATTTTTTTGAGTATTGTTTGACCTTCTTGGGGTATGTTTGGGGTATTTTTTATTTTTCTTCGAAAATCCCCCTGTAGGGGGACACGCCCGACATAGTCACAAGACTCGGAGTCGTCAGAACTCGGCTTTGTGTGTGACGGGCCCGCCTTGAGTTTTGGCGGTCCAGTTTTCATGGGATGCTTACAGCGGGAGCTCGCGTCGAATTTCATGCTGGGCCTCGTCAGTTGCATGATGGCTCCGTCAGGCCAACCCTCAGCATCGTTTCACGGACCCCTGTCCCCATCCCCCCCCATCCAGACCCCCACCAACGCAGCCCCCCAGTTGGGCATATACCCCTCGAAGCCCGAAGGAGACACGATGCCCCCATCCGGGAGGGCAAGTCGGCCAGTTGGGCCCAGGCCACGCCCGTGGGGATTGGGGTCGGTGACACGATGCTCCAGCCCGAGTCCCCCGAACCCCGAGCCTCATGCCTCCCCGACAGAACACCGCAGGAACACGCCAGGCAGCCAGCAGGCCCCCCAGACTTGCCGGGGGCGTGCCCCTGCGGCCTGCCAGCCCCCGTTCTGGCTCGGGCTGGCGCGGGAGTCCGGCCGCCGCGGGCGCTGCGGCCCGCGGACCGCCTCGGCTCGCCGGGATGGGCACCCCGGGCAAGCGCACGAGGCCTGGCGACGAGGACGGGGGGGCCCCGAACCGTGCGGTGACCCCGGGGGGCTGCAGCTGCGCCTCGCCGCAGTCGTCCCGAGCGGCCGCCGGAGGTCCGATGGATGGCCCAAGAGCCAGCCGGCGAGGGTCGAAGAAGAAGAAGAAGAAGAAGCGCCGTAGGCACAAACTTTTGGCGCTGCGCGCGGATTTCTTGGATCCGCGCTGGGGCTCCCCCAGCGGCGCCTCTGTCGCGGCGCCGCCCCTAGCTAGCGCGCTCCGCGGGCCAGGGAGGGGGGGTCCAGCGCGGATCCAAGAAATCCAAGCGGCGCGCCAAAAGTTTAGGTCTACGGCTTTGTTCTTCTTCAATATGGGCCCCTCCAAGATTAAGTCGGGCGTGTGTCCCCCTACAGGAGGAAGATTCCTTATTCCAAAATCAGGGGACAATGCCTTGCCATGTCTTTTGACTATGTCTGAGTATGTGTTTGGCTATGGTTTGAAGTTCCTCCAAAATCCGCCTTTAGGGGGACATGATTCGGGGATAGCCAGGACCCCGGGTAAGGGGACCCGGTTAGTGGTAGGGCCCCTGGGGCCCCTCAATTGGCCAGATTCACTAAACCAGGTTTGCCGTAATTGGTGTTTTTCGGGTGACGGCAGTGGAAATGGGGCGGGGGGGCGCCCCCGGTACAAATCACTAAACCAGGTTCCACTAGACCCAGTTCTGCCAACGCCCGGACATGCCCAACCCGACCCCCAGAGGATCTGGAGACCCTGATGGCCGTGGAGCGCAGCCCGGCCTTCGACAGGGCGCTGGCGCGCCTCCTGGCGGCCCACCACGCCGGCCTCTCGGAGGCAAGGTGTGGGCGGAGCGCGGAGGCGGCAGACCCTCCGGCTCTCTCCTAATCACCATCCCCTCCTCCTCCTCCTCCTCCGCCGCAGACCCCCTCCCCCCCTCCTCCTCCCCCTCCTCCTCCTCGTCCTCCTCCTCCTCCTCCTCCTCCTCCTCCTCTCTCCTCCTCCTCCTTCCCCTCCTCTTCCTGTCCTCTCCTCCTCCCTCACTCCCCTCCCTCCTCCTCATCCTCTTCCTCCTCCTCCTCCTCCTCCTCCTCCTCCTCCTCCTCCTCCTCCTCCTCCTCCTCCTCCTCCTCCCCCTCCTGCTCCCCCTCCTCCTCCGCCCGGATCCCAGGCGGAGCCGTCGTCCCTGCAGGCGCCATGGGAGGCAGCGGCGCGCCATGGCGCAGAGCGCAAGGGTGCAGACGAGCCCGTGGGACCACAGATGGGCTTCGAGGGCGAGCACGAAGAGGTCTTCATGGCCGACTTCCTGCAGCGCGGAGGAGGAGGAGGAGGAGGAAGAGGAAGAGGACAAGGAGGAGGAGGGGGGAGGAGGAGGAGGAGGAGGAGGAGGAGGAGGAGGAGAAGGAGGACGAAGAGGTCTTCATGGCCGACTCCTGCTGCGCGGATGGACTCGTCGGCGCCCACTCTGGCAGGGTGTCAGAGGATTCCGACGAAACGGGCCAGGCGAGCCTGAGCATGAACAAGATAATCGACGTCATCCAGTCGACTCACCACATTGCCAGGCACGGCTGTCTGATCGATTTCGTAGGTGGAGTCAAGTTCGAGGTGGGGAGTGCAATTGTGCTCCTCATGTTCTGTGTGGTCACTGCGTTCGAGATGCAGGGGGAAGGCATGAGTCTAGGGTACGAGTTGAGGTACTCTCGCTACGAGGACCCAGCTGGCTCAGGCTGGCCCGAAGCGACCATCACTTTGCAGATATTGTCCATCTGCTTCGGTGGTATTTTCGCGCTCGAGGTACTGATCCGGGTGTTGGCAGCAAGAAAGCAATTCGTATTCGAGTGGTGGAACATCTTCGATCTGATTCAATCGCTTCGCGTATTCCGCTGGGCCATCTTGCATCATTGTTAGCATTTGCTTGCAGGCTCGTAGGGGGTGAGAGTCCTCTTCGGGACACCTTGGAGCGCTCTGACGCTCATGGTAAGCGGAAAGACGAGCACGCCAAAATCATGATTCAAGATCTTGTTTGTTTTAAAGCCTATTGTGGCTTTCTTCGGCCATCTTGGGCCGTCTCGGGAATGTGTGGGTGTCTGTTAGAGTTGTCTTGGGGGTATCGTGGTGCTGTTTCGGGGCCATCTCGGGGTCCGCCATTCCTTGATGCCCACTCTTGGGCCGCCCTAGGGCCCTCTTGGTTCCCTCCTGGAGCTGCCTTAAACCTCTACTGGCGCGCTCTGGGGGTCTTCGGACCCCTCTTGGAACCCGGCCGGGCCCCACTTGCAACCTTCTTCGATCTTGGAACCATCTTGAGTCTTCAGAATCCCAGATGAAACAAACAGGCGAGAACGTCAACATCATTGAAAGACGGTTGTCTTTTCCGAAACGGCTTGTCTACAATGTCTTTGTCGAAATTGTTTCAATGATCTAGTATGTAGACTGTCGGATCCGGAATCGTGCGGATGTCGCGGCTTCCCTCAGCCACCCGTTACGTGGATTGCAGGATCGGGATCAGTCGGGGCTCGTGACCTCCCGTGGATTCCGCGGTAACAGAAGGCCACAGGAGTGGATTACTATGAGTTCCAGTCTTAGTATCTAAAGATTCGAGTTGTAGTTTTAGTGGTAGTTAGTAGTATGAGTAGCACGAATGGTATCCCAATCAATCTTAGCACCAGCACACTGACTGGTACCGGTATGCGCATGTGGATTCGTACGTAGCAATCTCATTCATTATTGGCCTTCCTACAAGTTCCAGACTTATTCGTATCATGAGTATGGTTCGTTGAAGTTTGGGGATGTGTATTTGCATACGTATCAGCAGATCGGTTATACGGGAGCCTTTGGAGCCCTCGCGTTGCCTTCTCAGGCCCCGCGTGGAGCCACTCTGGGCGATCTTGGACCAATCTTCAGACCTCAGAACCCCATGAGGTGCGAAGAGGCGAGAAAGTCAACATCGTTTAAACAGATGCACTTGTTCGAAAGAGTTTGGCCTCCTGGAGGCCTCTTCGGGGTTGCCTTGGACCATCTTGGGCCACCCCAGGGCTCCCTTGAGACCCCATGGAGCTGTGTCGGGGACATGTTGTTTCTATGTTTGGGCCATCTTGGGGCCTGCCCCCCCTTGATGCCCGGCTTTTTGGTTCTCTCTTGAAATCGTTTTGGGCCTATATCGGGTCGCTCGCTGGGATCTTCGGAGCCCAGTCCCCACTTGGAGCCATGCTTCAGAGTTTGGAACCATCCTGGGGCATCAGAATCCCAAAGACAGCGAAAGCGAAATTCTTAGATACCCACTCGGTTTTGCAGGATGTCGACCTCTTGGACGCCTCTCTTGGACTGCCCTGGACAAGATTTGACCACCTCGGGCCTATATCAAGGCTTCTTGGGGCTGCCTTGGGGTCTTCTTGGGTGCTACCCACTGATCCGCTCTCCTGAGCCGCTCTTGGGCTATGTTGACAGTAGTCTGGGACGATCCTTGGGCTGCGGTGAGGGTCCTGAGCGCCTTGCCCGGGAGCAGAACCATTTCTGATCCAGGCGGGGTGCCCAGGGGGGTCCCTGGATCTTGTTTGCTCTTGCTCCTGGGACCCCAGAGGCCACCTCGTGCGCGAACTAGCGCATACAAATGTTCCCCAACCATCATGTGGTGTCGGGTCCCCGTTTTGAAGAGACATTGCCCCGCGTCTCCTCCTCTCCTCTCTTCTCCTTTTCTCCTTCCTCCCCCTCCTCCCTCTTCCTATCCCTGCCTTTGCCCTCCGCACCAGTCAACCATGTCGGCACAACCCTCATACGTTTCGCGGCCCCATAATTAGGGAGCTCCACGTAAGGTCTCAGTGGCGGTGTTCGCATGCGTCTCCCCCATTCAGTACAGCGCTTCGTGGCCCCATTAGGAGCTCCACCGAAGGCTTGAGTGGCGGAGTTCACAAGCGCCTCCTCCACCCAGTACAGCGCTTCGAGGTCCCAAAGTGAGCTCCACCGAATGCCCCGGTGGCAAGTTCGCATGCGTGTCTTCAACCCAATACAGCGTTTCGTGGCCTCATTTGAGGGTCCACCGAATGCCCCCGTGACGGTGTTCGCATGCGTCTCCGCCACCCAGTACAGGGCTTCGTGGCCCGATGAGGAGCTCCACCTGAGGCCCCAGTGGCGGTGTTCGCATGCGTATCCCCCACCCGGTACAGCGCTTCGTGGCCTCATAGGAAGCTCCATCGGAGGCCCCAGTGGCTGTGCTCGCATGGGGAGGTCCACCCCCCACCCAGTACAGCGTGACTCCACCGAAGGCCCCAGTGGCGGTGTTCGCTTGCGACTCCCCCATCCAGTACAACGCGCCGAGGCCCCAAAGTGAGCCCCGCCGAAAGCCTCAGTGGCGGTGTTCGCATTCGTCTTCCCCGCTCAGCACAGCGTTGCCCAAGACCCGCCGGTCGTTGAAAGTATGTATTTTTGGACTCCCAGATCCTAATCTACTTCAAGCGCCTTCCTACTTCAAGAATCGACACGCTTTTGCTGTGTTTTGTTATTCTCTGGGGGGGCCTGGACCCAACCAACTTAATCCGCCATCCTACTTCATGTTTTTACCTACTTCTTCCGACCGACGTGTAAGGAGCTCCGCCGAAGGCTCCAGTGGCGACCGAAGGCCACAGTGCTGCCCCTCTTCATGCGCTTCGCGGCTCCATTGGGCTCCACCTGCAGCCCCAGTGGCAGCGCCCACGTGGCGGGCCCCCCCCACATCGGCACACGCTTCGCATGCTTCATGGCCTCATGAGGAGATCCCCCGAAGGCTTAAGTCGGGCCTGTCCCTCTACAGGGGGAATATTCAAAAACAGTCAAGACATAGTCTGGGGACTAGTTGTTTGAGTATGTTTGGGGATTGTTTTAGTATTTGGGGGTATTTTTAATTTGTCGCCCCAAATCCCCCTGTAGGGGGACACGCCCGACTTAACCGAAGGCGATACCCGCAACGACAGTTCTCACAACCGCATATGGCTGGGTCCTTCGCAAGGATAAGTTGAGCTTCTTGCTTGGGACGCAGTCACGCCTTTGACCTTCTGGGCTGGCGGATTATCTTGGCAGGTTGGTTTGTGGAGCTCACTGGCGTTGAGTTTAATTCCAAGGTCGTGCGGCTAGTTCGCCTTGTGCGCGTATTGCGATTTATCCGTTTGGTCCGGATTGCGCAGCACGTCGAGAATTTGTATTTCATGTTGATGGCACTTAAAGGGTGTTGGAGAGCATTAGGCTGGTCCTGTGCTATATTACTTGCTATTCAGGCGTTCACTGCCTGTGTCATATCTCAAATACTTTTTGCAACTTATTTTTCAGATGAGGGCCGCCCGATTGCTGAGCGGCGGGAGGTCTTCAACTATTTCGGCTCATTTGCTCGATCGCTTTTGACCACGTTTGAAATGTCGTTGGGCAACTGGCCCACGCCGGCCCGCGTCTTGTTCGAGAACGTCAACGAGTGGTTCATGTGGGTGTTCTTGGTGCACAAATTGGTCGTCGGGTTTGCCTTCGTAGGAGTGATCAACGCAATGCTCGTCCCCTAGATGCCTCGCTTCACCGATACGGCTACTGAGGAGGAAGAGGGCCGTTTTTTCCTGGCTTCCAGCTCTCCAACGCTCACTTGCCTATCCGTCCGAGTATTTCCCCGTTTTCACCACACTTACCGTACATTTCCAGCTCGCGTGCAATCACCCCCCAAAATGCATTTGGAGTTCACTTCCTCCCCCAGCGCAGCCTGATGAGTTAACCTGGCCAGCCCGCCCAGAGTTTGGGATGACGGCTTTTACCGAGCAAAGCGTGATCGGGTCGCCCGGGCCGGGTCAAGATGGATCATCACATGTTTTACGATTATTGGTTGTCATGGCTACTGGCTGTCATAGTCATACAAACGTGCGATGTTCCGACCAAGCAGAGCGTGATCGGATCCGTGCCCGGCGACGTAAACAGGGCCTGCTTACGTCGCTTTTCTGTTCGGCAGCACATGCCGGCCTCTCCGACAGCGATTTCCCCGATCCTGCCCACGTGTCCAGTCACTGTAACATGTCTGTTGTATGTGTCGTGTCTGTTCTGGTCCCGGGGGCTCCGGGGTGCGCTGCTTCCAGTTGCGGTTGGTGTTCCATGTTCGGAAACTGGAACATATACATTACCAGTGGCTCGCTGTTTTTCAATCCCAGGATTTTTGGAGGGTCGAGGACGACGCTGGGGTGGTGTGGTGTATACTTTTTGTCCCCGATGTCCCGGGGAAACGACGAAACATGTATACACTAGGAACCCGTATACACCAGAGTCCGCGTTCCTGTGCGAATTTCGGCGCAGGGTCGGGAAAAGCGTCGGTGTATAAAGTTCGATTCCCTACATGTCTCATCGACGGTCGCACAGTTTTGTTGTCCCCCCGCCGTTGCTCCAGGTTTCTGTCAGCAAAAACTGGAAACCGGCAACACATCCCCTGGGCGTTTCCAAAGACAGCTGAGGTTCGTCCAGGAGACGTTCCAGATTGCTATGACCGATGACCTGACCATGGTCCTCAAGAAGCAGAGGACACCATTTTGCATTCCCTTGCGATAGCGGGCGTTACCAGGGGACGGGGGCGGGGGCTGGTAGCGTCTCGATCCGCGCGGGCGCTGTCTAGGAAAGCCCAGGAGTGGCACATTAAAGACGCTTCGCTTCGCGTGGCCACACTAGCCCCTCCTGGATCTTGGCAGTCCCTCGGGAGGTGCCGCTGGGAAGTCTCTTGGGGTCTCTTGGGGGTCTCCTGGGAGCCTCTTGCGGGCATCTTGGGGGCCTCTTGGGCCTCCTGGGCACGTCTCGGGGCCGTCTTGGGGCATCCTTGGGAGCCTCGGGGGCCATCTTCGGGCCATCTTGTAGGAGATCGATCAAAAGAGGGGCCGTAGTTCAGGATCCCCCCCCAGGAGGCCAACATGTGGTCGACATTTTAATCGTATCCGTGATTCTGGGCTTCTCGCTGAAACCTCTTGGGGCGGCTTGGATGCCGCCAGGGAGCCACTTGGGGCCTCTTGAGCCTCTCTTGGGAGCCTCTTGGGGGCATCTTTGAGGCCTCTTGGAGGCCTCTTGGGGCATCCTAGGCACCTCGTGGGGTCGTCTTGGTGCACCCTTGGGAGCCTCGGGGGCAACCCTGGGGACATCTTGGAGGAGATCGATCAAAGGAGGGGCCGTAGTACACCAGGATCCCCCCCCCAGCAGGCCAAATTGCGGACAAAACCAATGACATTAATAGGTAGGATCTTCTCGCCGGGGCTTCTTGAGGCGTCTTGGGTGCCTCTGGGGGGACTCTTGGGGCTCCTTGAGCCTCTCTTGGGAGCCTCTTGGGGGCATCCGGGGGGCCTCTCGTGGGCCGCTCGAGGCATCCTGGGCACTTCGTAGGGCCGCCTTGGGGCGTCCTTTGCAGCCTCGGGGGCCATCTTGGGGCCATTCTGGAGGAGTTCGATCAAAGGAGGAACCGTAGTACAGTAGGGTCTCCCCACGGGAGGCCAACATGTGGCCAGAACCTTCTTCAAATGAATGATGTTGGCTTCCTCGCCGAGGCCATCTTGGACGCTCCAACGCCTTGCGGAACGCTCCCGAAACCCAGGGGGAGGGGGGAGGGGGAGGGGTCAAGACACCCTCCTAGATAGCAGGCCGTGGAGCTCTCTCCCATCCGCCCTCCCAACACATCAGTAACACCCTAGCCTCAGCAGGTTCAGCCGTCGTCTTTGGAAGGACAGCTACTGGGAACCACCACCGAGCCCATGTGCGCGGCGCTTGGGCGAGGTGCGCCACGCGTGCCAGGCGCGCCACGCGCGCCAGGCACCCTCGGGGCCCGAGCGTGCCAGGCACGCCTTGTGCGCCAGATGCGTCACGTGCCTCCGCGTGCGCCAGGTGTGCCGCATACTCTAGCCGCGCCAGGTGCGCCACGTTCGGGGCACGTGCAGGGTGAGTCCAGTGCGCCTGCGCATGTGACAGCACACATCGGGAAACATGTCGGCCCACATCATCCATGTCGAGAACCAGTGCCCATCATTGTGTCTGGTGGGCCTGCGCACAGCAGGCCATACGCCACCACTTGACAGTGATCGCGGGGTGGCCGCGCATGATCCAGATTTAGCCGCGAGGTGCATCTTGTATTGTTTTGTCAGGGATGGTAGCCCTGCGCGCAGCAGGCACTGTGCTGACACCCCCGTCGCCCTCGTCAACAAAGAGTACAGAGTGCTCGCGGGCCTCACGAACATGATTCCAGACTTTGCCCCCAAGTGTAGTGTGTTTTTGTTGGCAGGTTGGCTGCGGGTCGCCTGGGGGACGGGGTGTATATTAATAGGGAACAGTGATCAACCCCTCACCGAGGGGAAAGAAGGGGGGTTGGAGGAGGAAACGCTCTGAACCACTTACGCCCTAAATGGCTGGTGGGATTCCCAGACGGCGCCAGCGCGAATCGGGACGTTACCAGAGGGTTCGGGGGGAGCCAGGGCTGGTGACGGGCGTTCTCTGAGAACCGACGTTGCAAGGAAATTGCAACATCGCGAAAACCGCTACTGGATCCCTAGACCCCATCTTTCTGCTGGGTTTTGTTGAGACAGGTCGATCTGTGATGGTCCCAGGCACGAGACTCGACAAAACGCCTAGTGTGGAAAAAACGGCAACGCCGGGATGTCAGGGTACCGCGAATTTGTGAAATTGGGCTCCAGGCACCTGCGCACCCAGAAGGCGAAGTTGGAGAAGCTCTTCGAGGCGGCCGACTCCGACCACGACGGGCGTGTCAGCCGCACTGAGTTTGCTTGCGTCCTCCGGCACCACGACGTCAGGCTGTGGCTCGCCTCCATGGACCTCGCCACGGGTAAATCTGGTTCCCCCCAGGGTCGAGGAGGAAAAACACCACATGTATGCATATATGCGCGTCCGTGGTCCTCGCGCGGACGAGGGGTGCAACAACGTGCAGAGCGTCGCACAAAGCTTGTAGAGTTGCGTGGGTAAAGGAACCTATGTCTCCTCCTCATCGTTGCCCCCTCATCGTTGCCTCCTCATCCTGTGAGGTGGTTGGAGAGCCCGAGGTAAACGGACCCTGAGGAAACGGGCCCTGCGCTTTTGTTCCCAGCTTTCGCGCCTCCCTGGCTCAGAGGAGGAAAAGGTACCCCGCTACCTTTCCCCTGTCGATGTCTTCTTGCGCTTCCTGGGAGGCCCTCGTCGCTACGGCCGGAGTCGCTTCGGAATTCAGGCCAGAAGGCATCCCAGGAGGGTCCTCGGAGTCGCGGTACTGGTACTTCTCTGGTTCCCCAAGGACTGTCCCAAAATGATTTTGGTTGATAAGGAGACGAAGAATGACATAAACATAAAACTCGAAGGTCCGCGCGGACTTCTCGGATCCGCGCTGACCCCCCCTGGCGGCGCCTCCGGCGCCGCCCCTGGCGCGCTCTGCGCGCCAGGGAGGGCGCCGATCCGAGAAATCCGCGCGGACCTCTGAGTTTTGTGCTTATGTCGCTTTGAAGGCCTCAGGATCCAGGACTCGGCTCCCTCAGGACCCGTAATGCAAAGGCGCCCTCGAGTGCGCGAAGTTATTCGCGCTTCGTGGTTCGGCTCCGATTCCTCCTCATCCTCCTCTTCTCCCTTGGGAGGCGGCGCGAGAGCGCGAAGTTGTGAGCCCTTGATGCTACACATGCTCATTCATTTTCGCAGGTCTGCGCGGATTTCTCGGATCGGCGCTGTGCCCCTGGAACGCTCCCGCCCTATCCGGGCAATCCTGAGGAGGGAGCAAAACACACAGACACAATGAATCATCGATTCCCTAGAAAATATGGGAAAATATGGGAAGTGGGGGGGAAGACAAAAAACCAGAACATATCGGAAAATATGGGGAATCCCATGATTTGTATGTATTTATTTGTGTGTCCCAGGGCCCCTTTACCTATCCGGGCAATCCGCGCGAAGCTCCGAAAACTTGGTTCTTGTAACTCCTCGCCGCGCCGAGGACTACGACCCGAAGGACCCGGACTACCTCTTCGATCTGCTGGACCAGAACGACAGTGGTGATCTCTCCGCCACCGAGTTTCTGAAGGGCATGATGCATCTTCGCGGCTTCGCGAGGGCGATGGACCTGCTGCACGTCAGCAAGTCCAACCAGGCTTATGATGTTCCAGCCTACTTTATCGGAGGTTGATAGACCTCCTACCTTGACACATCGATTAGTGAATTGGCCGTTTTCGTTTCGCGAGAGGGCGTCGCGGCCGTTATTTTTGCGGGTCCACGTCCATCGGTTCGGTCCCAGGCCTTTTTCATTGAGGGGAGGTTTACTAAAGGGAGGTTTGTCCACCGCCGAACTTTAGCCTGAACCACCAGAAATAGTTCCGAGCACCAGGGAAGTACCGAAACTGGAGTGTCTTCACGTGTCGGGCTCTGGGAGGCGATGCTCGTTCGACATTGTTTCGATACTTTCCTGGGAGCTCGACAGTACGTTTAGGGGATTTTTTGGTCCCCGAGTGCGAGGGGAGCAGCATAAGACCAGGGTATATTTGCCCAGCTGGCGAGCGCCGACGACGGCGACGACAGTCCCCGCCACCTGCATGGGATGCTGAAGATCTGACGAACATCCCGGGCTGCATGGCCAGTGCTGAGGCCGACGCGCTGGCGTGGGGGGGGGGGCAGGGATTCGCGCTCTCGCGCCGCCTCCTCCTCCCCTCTCCTCTTCCTCTCCTCCTCCTCCCTCCTCTCCTCCTCCTCCTCCTCCTCCTCCTCCTCCTCCTCCTCCCCTCCTCTCCCCTCCTCCCCTCCTCCTCCCTCCCCCTCCCTCCTCCTCCTCCTCCTCTCCTCCTCCTCCTCCTCCTCCTGCTCCTCCTCCTCCTCCTCTTCCTCCTCCTCCTCCTCCTCCTCCTCCTCCTATGTCGGGCCTGACCCCCTACATGGGGGGATTCGGGGAACGAAGCATGGCATAAGCTTATTTCGGGCCTGTCCCCCTACAGGGGGGATTTTCGACGAAAAATAAAAAATGCCATAAACATGCCACAACATGATTTAAACATACCAACAAAATCGTTCCCAGACTATGTTTGGATTATTTGTTTAATTATTTGTGTGGTATTTTTTTATTGTTTGTCGAAAATCCCCCTGTAGGGGGTCAGGCCCGACTTAAGCATAAGGCATAAGCACAACAACTCGGAGGTCCGCGCGGATTTCTCGGATCGGCGCTGGAGCCCCCCTTCCCTGGCGCGCAGAGCGCGCCAGGGGCGGCGCCGGAGGCGCCGCCAGGGGGGGTCTGCGCGGATCCGAGAAGTCCGCGCGGACCTCCGAGTTTTTATGTTTATGTCATCCGTCATTCCCCGAAGCTGGGCGGCCAACAGGCGACGTGGCCGTCCCCGACAGCAGTGGGCAACTGAGGTGCGTAGAGCAGCGTAATGCTCGTCGTAGTTTGCTTTTCTCTACTCCTCCTCCTCCTCCTCCTCCTCCTCCTCCTCCTCCTCCTCCTCCTCCTCCTCCTCCTCCTCCTCCTCCTCCTCCTCCTCCTCTTCCTCCTCCCATGCTGCTTAGTCCAAGCCCTTGTACCGCTGATGGTCTGCGGAGGGCTCTTGGCGATGCTTTTTGTTCGCGGCGAGGCCTGGCAAGAGCCACGAGTGCTCCTGCCGACCAGCCCACACGTCCCTCTGGATGCTCGGCTTTCCTGTCCTGTCCTGCTCATTCCCCGAAGGAGCGCAAGGCGGGTGATGCAAGCAAGGGGGAATACACCAGTCAGAGCCGGCCTGTGCGTGTTGTCGGCGTGAGCGCTGCCAATGTGTTGTGGCCGTGCTGCCGCTAAAGTTTGCGAATTCGATATCTGCGGAGGATGTTATTCGTCCGGTCGCCGCTTACACAGGCCGCCAGACGTCTGTTTTAATGTTTGCGGGAGGGGCGGCCAGAAGCCGCGTTCGGCAGTGCCGTCCCGCGTGTGTGTGCGTCGCCGGCTGCAGCCAGCGCCCCCCCCTGCGGGAAACGCAGACGGAAGCCTCTTCCGTTGGTTCCTTGTTCCGTTTTAATTGTCGCAACAAGGCGTGACAGAGCCCAATAGCGAGTGCCGTTTCTTTGCGCACTTGTGCCTCCGAGGCCGAGCTTGCAGCATGGCAGCAGTTCGACGAGCCGTCTCCGAGGCGTGCGGCTGGCGCTGGGAGTCAAAGAGCGAGCTTCCTGCGTGGCGCGTTGCAGAAAGGGCCTCGGCTTGAGCGCGCCTCGCCCTCGGCGGAAGGCGGCGGAAGACGGCCGGAGGCGGTTGCGCGTTTGAACGGGTCGGCGGGTGGCGCCGGAAGCAGACGCGAGACGTCAGCATGTTCTCAGGGGCAGCGATAGGGGGGGGGGGGGTAGGCATAGGGGGGATGCATCGACCCCCAATCGCCCATTGATCGCCCAGGAAAGTGCGGATTCACTATCGGGGGCCTATCGCCGATCTATCGGCGATGTGTGGTCGAGGGTGTGGGCCCCCCCCCTCCAATGCTAATGCCATCGCCCCCCCCCCCCCCCCCGATGGCCCGCCCCCCTGTGGGCGTGGGCGTGGCGTGGTGGGGAGAGGAAGCGGGAGGGGGGAGCAAAGTAGGGAAGAGAGGGCCAAAAACGAGGAGGGAGGGATGGAGAGGCGGATAGGGGGAGGAGGAAAAGGAACATCGTCGTCGACGGTGTCTTCACCGTCGTCGCCTCCTTCTGGGTGTGGCGTTATGTTCCAGTGCTTCAGGGAGCCGGAGCGGACGGTGTCTTCGTCGTCGTCGTCGCCGTCGTCCTCCTCCTCTTCCTCCTCCTCCTCCTCCTCCTCCTCCTCCTCCTCCTCCTCCTCCCTCCTCCTCCTCCTCCTCCTCCTCCTCCTCCTCCTCCTCCCTCCCCCCTCCCATCTGGGGGGGGGCCCAGGACCCTGGGACCCATCCCATCTGGGGGGGGTGGGGCCCGTGGGCCCGGAGCCCGCAACCGTGTATCGCCGATTCCAGGTCGACGATTCACCCCCCATGCCAGTCCCCCCCATCGTTGCCCCTCCTGTTTGGCCTCAGGGTTGCCAGAATCGGCCACCTACGTACGCTGTTGATTCCCAGCTCCCTGCCGCTGCGCTGCTGCTACCGCGGACGCTGCCGCTGCCTCCTGCCATCGCTGCGCAGGAAGCGGGCCACGAGGGGCGCGGGCCCCAAGGGCTCTCCCCCGTGCCAGGCTCCCCCTTCCTTCTCCGGGCCCCAGGACCGTCAACCGAAAGACTCGAGATATTAAAAGCCGGAAATGCCTGCTCGTGATTCAAAAAAGACGGCCCCCGCCCCCCACGTTCTAATACATCCCCCCCAGCGCACGTTTTTGTACATCACACGCCCCCCACGATCTGTTAATCGCTGGCTGCCACTGCCGGGGGAAGGTCCCCAGGTCCCGAACCCGCTTCCCTCAGAACCCGTGTCCTTCCTACATGCCAAGGCCGTTGCCACCGCCCTCGTCCCCCCCTCTGGTCCTCCTCGCGTAGTGCTCATCGCTGGGCTGGCGCGTCTCCGTGGCACGCCGCGTGGCAGGATCGCTGTGGAGATGCACACAGCTCGCGGCCAATGCAGTCATCGTCGCCTGGCCGTTGCCGGAAGAGCTTCCTCGGGAACCTGCGAAGCCGATCCCTGCGGGTCGGGCCGACCGGGAGTTGGGGTATCGGGCACCCCCGCTGGGGTTCGCGCATATATTTTGGGAGCTCTCCGCCCCAGCCGACGTTTCAGAAGTCTGACCTGCAGGGGTACAGTCGAAACCCGCACAGTAAGTCTGCACGAACGAAATGGGCACGGAAAGAATGGGTACAATGCCCAACAGCGGACCTTGTTCATTTTGAACAGGACTCGCTGTCCACGCCGCCGCGGCCTGTGCCCATTCGAGACAGAAGGCCGCTTGCCCAACGGCGGCCGCTGTTGGTTTGGGACAACCTTTGTTGTTGGGCATTGTGCCCATTCTTTTCGTACCCATTTCGGGCGTCCATTGTTTCGACATTATTTTGACACTCTCTTGACACCCTTCTGGGTGCTCGAAATCATTTCTGGGATGTGGTCCTGAAGTGGGATGGGAGCAGCATAACCCAAGGGTGCCCTGTGCACCCCTGCCTCCTCGGTCCACCCTCGGCCTCTTTTGCTGGCCGCGCCCCGCTCGAAGAGCTTCGGAGTGGACGTCCAAGGCCCCTGCATCCTCATCGCGCCTCGCTTCAAGAGGGAAAGGACACACACACAGACACAATTCATCGTCGATTCCCCCGAAAATATTGGAAAATATGGGAAGTGGGGGGGAAGACAAAAAACAAGAAAATATTGGAACATATGGGGAATATTTTTATCTGTGTGTATCTATTTGTGTGTCCCAGGGCCCCTTCATCCTTGTGCTACGGGCCGACTGTAGGATTCACATGCGGCTGCCTCAAAATTACCGCTGCCACCGCGCACTGCCACGCCTTTTTCCCCCCGAGTTCTCGGCGCCGCCCCCTGCGCGCGCGGACCACGATGGGGGGTCCCCTGAGACTCTGCCTGCAGGCCCTCCTGAGCACGCTCTCGAGCGCCCCCCCCCCCCTGCGCGCACGAGAACCACTAGGGCCGCCGAGGGCAACACCGAAGCTTTGTGTTGCACTCGAGGGCCCACGCCTCCGCGGCGGGGATCTGTCCAGAGCCGTCGCCTGCGGGATCGAGCTTCGGGGACCTCGGCAGTCCCTGAGATCCTGGCGCTGCAACTTTCTCACACCGGGCGTCTTCGCTCCACTTCGGGCCCCCGGGACCCTCGCAGGTCGATCCGGCTCGGAAAATGACGCAGAAAGATGGGGTCCAGGGCTCTGGTCCTGATTTGTTTTGCGACCCAGACGGCGTCTGCGCTGCGTAGGGCAAGCGCTGTTTGGGAATCGGCGGTGCGACCGTGTCGTCCTCCTCCTCCTCCTCCTCCTCCTCCTCCTCCTTTGCCGCCTCTTTATCCATTCTTCGCCTTGTCTTTCGTAGTCGACAGAGATGGCAGCAGCAGCAGAGCAAGGAGTGCGCAGACGATGAGAGTGCAATTTTGTTTGCAGCGTCGGATCTCCCGGGTCGGCGGATACCGACATGTTTCTGGACGCCCGAAATGGGTACGGAAAGAATGGGTACAATGCCCAACAGCAGTTCCTGTTCATTTTGAACAGGATTCGCTGTCCACGCCGCCGCGGCCTGTGTCCATTCGGGACAGAAGGCCGCCTGCCCAACATCCCCCGCTGTTGGTTTGGGACAACATTTGTTGTTGGGCATTGTGCCCATTCTTTTCGTACCCATTTCGGGCGTCCAAAATGTTCGGACCGGGGGAGACAAGCATGTCCACACGCGCCGCCCGTCGAGGTCGCCGAAGCCCGGTCCCACGGGCGATGCTCATGTCGGGGGAGCGTCAGACACGAACAAGCCTCCACCTCCTCCTCCTCCTCCTCCTCCTCCTCCCCATCCTCCTCCCCCTCCTCCTTTTCCTCCCCCTCCTCCTTTTCCTCCTCCTCCTCCTCTTCCTCCTCCTGCTTCGATCGCCTACGCTCGGGGAAGCGTCTGACTCGTGTGAGCCAGGACTCGGGTTTGCCGACGTTTTTTGACGAGCGCGTCCTGGAGTTTGACGGTTCGGTTTCGTGGGATGTTTGCAGCGGGAGGTCGCGTCCAAATTTCAGAGTGGGTCCCGTCATTTTCATGATCCCCGTGCCCGAGTCTTGCGTCTCGTCCCCCGTATCCGAGTCTTACGCCTCCCCGGTCATTTCCGGTTTGAAACATATCCCTACCCCTTATGTTCGGTATCACACCACCTTGATGCCGATCTTGAGGATTCCTTCAGTTTCTGAGGGATGTTCCCTAAGATCGTCGTCGCGTTTTGCTCTCCCATCTTAGGGATGGGGATAAATTCGAGGCTGCCCCGCCAGCGAAGTTCAACGTCGAACGCCGCGGGCGACCCAGAATCGTTCGTCGTGGAACGATTGGGACGCCTCGGAAACGGCCGATCGGTCAAGGTTCGTTCAACGATCCCCGCGGTGTCAGATGCCAGCGCCGAAGCCGGCACGACACGAACCTGTCTTGACTTTTTGGTCACTATCCAATGCTGCCTAAGCATAATTTGTCGGAGCTCAATGCAGCTTTCTTGAATCGGCGCCAGGCTCCCCTCCTCCTCCTCCTCCTCCTCCTCCTCCTCCTCTTCCTCCTCCTCCTCCTCTTCCTCCACCTCCTCCTCCTCCTCCTCCTCTTCCTCCTCCTCCGGGGGCGGCGGCGGCCTCTCGGCGTCGGGCCCCGCGCACCGCGCCGTCGTCGTCGTCGTCGTCGTCCTCGTCGTCGTCGTCGTCGTCCTCGGCGTCCTCGGCGTCGTCGGCGTCGTCGTCGTCGTAGCGCCGATCCGAGAAATCCGCGCGGACCTCCGAATTTTCATGTTTATGTCACTTGTTGTTCCCCTATCTGCGCCGTGGGCGCCCCTTCTTTGCCTTTCGGCCTCTCCCCTGCCTTTCTTTGTCCCTTGTTCCGCTCCCAGAGCGGACCTGTGGGCTCAGGGTGTGCACCAGTGCGCCGACCTGTCGAGGGAGGGGAGGAAAGAGTCGCAGGAGCACGTTCGCCTGCAAAAGCCAGTGGCGCAAGGCATTTGGTGCCACCTATGTGGTCTGAGCCATGTGATGCAAGCTATGTTAGGCACCCCACGTCGTGCTATTATGTGTGGCTTAAACTGTGTGACGTAACGGATGTTCAGCAATAGATGTGGTAAGCATTCTATGTGGCGCAATCTATGTGGTATAACCCCGAGAGAAGCATTTAAGACCCCCCCCTTCCGGTGA